CCTAATTCCCTAGGGACTAGCAGCCCTAGGAAGAATTTCCTCCTCTCTTATAATCTCTTCAAGTTTTAGACTGCCTGTCCCGATGCCATCAGAAACACGCTGATACCTCCATCTTCTATGCTGCTGCACATTTCATCTGTGTACAGCAACTGGGTTCTATACTGATAAAGCTCTTGGTGGCACTTCTATGATCTGTGGTTGTGTATTTTAAGACTCATCCTAAGAACTGTTACCAATCAGAAGTAGTTCCAAGAACGAAAAAATGTTCTCATTCCTAAAGGTCCCATGAAAACTATAAATACTTTTGTAAACCTTAGGACTGAGTCCTCAAAAAAACAAACAACAATAAAAAAAAAAAAAGCCTGTTCACTGAACAGTTATTTGCTGAAATGTGTTCTTTCAGCGCAAAGACATAAAACAACTCAGTGTAGTAAAACTGAGTCCATTCTTTTTGATTAAAATTATTTAAATCATTTTAGGGGGTGGGGTATATAGCTCAGTGGTAGAGTGCAGGCTTAGCATGCACAAGATTCTAGGTTCAATTTCCAGTATCTCCATTAGAAAATAAATAAATAAAATAAAATTCTTTAAGTCATTTTAAATATGTTTTCATCAGAAATCATGTAATCAAAATCTTAATATAAGCAAAGTTTTACAATATTTACTATTAATGATTTAACTTACTTCTTTCTCCATTATTCCTCACCACTTTCTATAATCAATTATTTTTTATTTGGATGCCATTCGTTAACAGATACTGTATCAGTAAGACTTATTTTTTCATTAGAGAGTCCTTTCAGTAAGATACCTAACACTCTGATTAGAAGAACCTACTCTTTTGTTTAACCTTATAAAATTTCATGACATGGTTATCATTTTGATCTTTTAAAAATTATTTCTTTACAATAATTATTTTTACTTCTCCTAGACATCATTTAAACAAACTTACTCGTTTGAAGTCATTCATATTTGTTGCCTGGACTGGAGTCCCAATAAAAGTAAAATATGAAATTCTTGTTGTTTCTTCTTCACCTTGATTGGACTGAACAAAAATCTATACACACACACACACACCCCAAAAGAAAAAAAAAAGAATTTCTACATTAATGATTAAACTCCTTTTCTTATTAAGTATGCTTTAACTTTAATCAATTTCCCTAGGCTATTCATAAAAATACCTGCTGTTCTTTGTAAAGATTAATCCACATTACATTTAGACTAGTACTCCCAGAGCCCTATTAATTCCACTGCTCGTCCCACCTTCTCCAGGGATGTCACGGCAAGACACTCACATACACAAGTTCTTGATGATTTAGTGTGATGGTGTGGAAAGGTAATAATTAAATTATTTATAGAGAATGCCAAAAGATTATGGAATTCATGATTACAATGGGCAGAGTGCTACTAAAGTTTTTCTAAAATTATGGTTTTTCACTGAGGAAAATTTCTGCAGTTATATTTTTTTCTGATACTCCTTCATTCTGATACAAGAATATTAAAAGAAAAAAACAGTACTGGAAATAAGCTCCTAAAACTATACTGTGTCTTGCCTATTTTTTAAGCTTGTCTCTTTATACTTTCTGTTTAAACCCTCAGCATGTTAGGAGACAAATGCTTTACTCAAAGATCCTCTTTCAACACACTGGATTTTTTCTATTTGTTCCATTTTAAAAAACATAATACTCTAGATATTACTTACGAATATTGCCTCTGTTGATTTGGGCAACATACTTTTTTCATTCTCAGATGGCACTCAGCAGTCAGTTTTTGTTGGTTTTACAGGCAACCAGATTCATCTCAAACTGAGTTTATCAATTAAAAACTCCAAGTCTATAATAAGTAGACTATTAAACTGTTTATTTATTTGCAATGCTTTTTGAACCTAAGCACAATAGTTTCTATTTACTGGTTTTAAAATTCATCTACTTACTTTGATTAGATGTTCTGATCAAAACTGTTGTTTTGACTTCAATTTTATCACCAAAAAGTCACAGGGATGCTTTCTGTGTCTTCATTTAAGTCGCTGACTAAAATTTTGACTGAGATAGTACACAGTACATAAAGATTTGAGCCTATCACAAGATAACTATGTTCAGTGACTCTCAAAGACAGAGGAGATCATTTTAGGATCTCTGAGTCGAAAGGGCTTTTTCCAATAAACAAAAGCCTTCCTCCCATCACTAAATAAAGTCACGTGTTACTAATTAAATGTTACAAATATGACAAAAGTCAGGAAAATATTTCATAACCAGTGTCCCCGTCTAATATAACCATTTTCTTTAATTTCGTCTGGGTGGAATATTTCAAACACTGAAAACTTAATATAACCCTTCATCTTACTACTAAGTATATTCTGTGAAAGTCCACTGAAAACTTCATAAAATGAACACGTCATAACATTCTTCTAATCCACAAAAACCAGAATCCACTAACACAAAGAAACCACATTAGTTTGGCATGACTTATTCTCAAGTGACTCTGCTGGTTCCTACTTTTTCCCTAGGTATTCTATGATTCTGTTTTAACCCTCCTACCGCCTCTTCTGAAGGAATGGGCTAGGGTGGAGGGTTGGTTTAGAAGCATGTGCTGGGTTTCAATACTAAAATTCACAAAAACAATTAATAACTTCTAAAAAGGAACTGATTTCTTAATGTAAATTAAGATAACATAAAATTACTTTTTTAAAAAGTCCTTTTTACTGAGATCATGGATACTATTAAAAACTCTATACTCTAGAAAAGTAAACTGGATTTTACAAACATATCATCACTTACCACCAGGTATGAAGGAAGCACAAATACCTTCAGTTTAAGTATAAATGTTCTAGAATAAACTTTTAACAAAAGTTGCCAAATACATATAAATGGACTGACAAGTCCACAAATTAAAAAAAAAAATCAACCTGTCCTTTCCCTTTGAGGCACACAGATGAATTAAAAAGAAGAAAATTTAATTAGCTTATTAGATGTTCTTACTCATTTCAAACCAATCGGACAATCAACTACTTTAAAGGGTCACTTAGAATCAGCAAGGATATTTAAGACAGCATGAATTGTCACTCACAACCCGCTAAATATATCTGAATGAAACAGTACTTACAGTTACACTGTTAACATTCTGAAACTTAACATAACGAAGTGGGACAATGCCATCTTCTTTAATATCATCCTCTGTTAGTTCCAGAGCTTGAGTTGGTTCACTTCTTTCTGCTTCTTCAAAATCCATAGATCGGGGTAGATTGATAAAAATTTTTACGTATTTAGGACCCTGACCTATAAGATGGTAGAATAAAATAAAATGCTAAAACCAAATATACAACAATTGGTTCCCTTTTTCATGATATTCACACTATACAGACAGACACACACATGCACATATCTACCTCTATCTTTAGAAACTGTAAGTCTGAGTATTTTCATAGCCATACTTTTTTCCCCTTTCAACAGACATTAACCGGTAAATTCTTGGCCTGCTACCACTATACTAAGTACTTCAAATACTAGAGTAAAACACATAGATACATATGTTCACGCATACACTTACACAGAGTTCTTGCCCTCAACTATAAAAGACACACTATGGTAAGTGTATAACTACCACTGAGGAGGTATAGGGAAGGTGGCAATGAAGTTTGCCAGCATATGCAGGCTAGCGAAAAGTTTCAAGAGAAATAACATTTGAGCTGGGTCTTGCAGTTGTCATCAATTGGCACATTTTGTTATTTAGGAGAAAAGCATCATCAGTGACGACATTTAGCCAAAAGAAATTAAACATACAAACTGCTGAATTTCAGTGTAGGGATTAGGGTGTGATCAGTGGTAAAATCACATTTATAGAATGTCTTAGTCTCTTTAACTTCAGACCCATATTTTGTCACTGATTAAAGAATCTCAAGCTTTGCACATTGCTTAAACACTCATTTCTACAGCACCTGCTTTTATAAATACTTCGTATTTTCACAATAAAGAAATAATTGTATTAGTGAAAAGTCATTAATACACAAATATTTAGAATAATAAACGAGAAAGGAATGCTATCTGATAAATAGGGTAACTACACTAGCAAAACCCCCACAACAGATGTAGAAGAAGAAGGGAGTTGGGGATGGGGGGGTACATAAGGAAAATTCTTTATTTAATAAAAAGAGAAATGCCAAGTCTGTACAACCCTGTTTACAGCATCACAATTTGTATACAGAAGATGAACATATGAATAGAGCACTCACAGGAAGATCTAAAGCCCCAGTTTTATCACCTGTAACAAGAGGAGTCTGAAATACATCTCTCCCAGTTCTGGTCCTGAAAAATGGCTGCTGCAAATCTTTAATTTTGAGTTGGAAGAAAAGGTTCCCTCGTGTTCACATTACCAGGGAACTTAAATTCTAAAATAAAAACCCTTGGAAATAAGGTAAAAGTTTCTTTTTCTTTTTTTTACTTTTGATCCAATAATCTCACATTATTTGCCCATTTATTTATATCCTTTCTTTGTTCCAAGAACAATTTCACTCTTTCCCAAAACAAGAAATATCTCCCTCTATTTAACAAAAAGTTTTAACCTAAGTGTCCATCAACAAATGAATGGATAAATAAGATGTGGTAAATATATCCAATGGAATACTATACTCAGTTATAAAAAAAGAACGAAATGTTGCCATTTGCAACAACATGGATGGACCTGAAGGATATTATGCTAAGTAAAATAAGTCAGAGAAAGACAAATACTGTATGATATCACTTATATGCAGAATTAAAAAATAAACAAAATAAACTAGTAAATATAACAAAAAAAGAAAGAGACTCACAGACAAAGAGAACAAACGAGTGGTTACCAGCAAGGAGAGTGGAGGAGGGAGAGGGAAGATAGAGGTAGGGGACTATGAGGTACAAACTATTACATATAAAATAAACAAACTACAAGTATATATTGTACAACATAGAGAATATAGCCAATATTTCATAATAACTATAAATGGAATATAACCTTTAAAAATTGTGAATCACTATGTCGTACACCTGAAACCTATATAATATTGTTCATCAACTATATCTCAATTAAAAATAGAATTAGATAAAATAAAAGTTTTAAATGTGTACTAATAGGTCTATAGAACAGAAAGTTAGTTTAAAGAAAAGCTGTCCATTACTCACCATTATCTGGCCCTTGAAATTTCATTGAATAAAGCTTAACAGGCTGATTGAATGCCACAGTAATAAGCAGCTGTGAAGAAAATAGTTTCATTTTAAAAGGGCCATTGAACACCTTGAATAACACGACAGCTAAGCTGAATTAGAGTAATTAAGCAGCAGAAAAAATTTAATGTATCTAACAAAACCAATGTAACATAGAAAATTAGCAAGTTGAAAGTAACTTGATTAGATTGACATTTGAGAAATACAATCATCTGTTATATGTATAAGGGAATGACAACAAAATTTAATAGAATAAATTAACTAAAATTGTATGTAAGAACCTAAAAGTGTGTGACCTACTAAATGGCAAGCAATCTGCTTTCCAAAAAATCAAACAAAACTCTATATATTTTAGCACATTAAGCTCAATGTTTTCTAAATCAGTTTATTTGTGAAGCATGTACCCACGTCACCTGACAACTTGGAGACAATGCACAGGTTATATGGAGAGCAGAGCCCTCACATGGACTCTATTTGATCCAAAACTCAAGAGAAGAGGACTCACAGCTCCAGGGGTAACCTCCAAACCTCCATCCTAAACTTGCCTGACTGACTGAATTTGGAAGGCCACGGGCAGGAAGATTTTAGGGAAGCTATAGCTAGTCCTTCTGATAAACATCACCACATTATACTCAAAGCACCATTTACAAGGAGCACAATGTGAACGATATTCTCAAAGCTATACAGTAGGGTCGCACTGGTTGGAACAAAGAAAGATGAGATTTAGATTTATGATTTCAAAATCACTGTGGCCTGTTTGCCTAAGAAAATACTTAGACTACTTCCTTTGGTTATGTAAGTTCTTTGTATACTTAACCTATAATCGTTTGTCAAAAAATATAAGCATGACACATTTAGGGGCTTGAACCTGGTGAAGAGGATATGAGAGTTGAAAGCTAGAAAAACAAAGTCAGCAAGAATATGATCTCCTCTTCCTGAAGCCAGTGAAGAATCACTTAACCCTTTCAAAAAAGAGAAGCAAGATCAGATTTGTATTTTAGAAAAATAGCTTTTGTGAACATGTAGAAGATGAACTGGAATGGGGACGAAGAAGTGTCAGTGGAAAAGAAATTAAATTAAGAAAAACAACAGTCAAGACGAAGATAAAGATGGCTTGACCAAGGCAGTACTGCATGACACTTCCTCTGTGACAACAATGCAGGAAGTGCAGGGAAGTACAATAGGGATTTACAGCTGGGGGTGGGGACTAGACATATGGGAGTGCTCATCTAACCAGGCTCTGTTTCTCAGGGATAAACTCTTCGGGTAGGTAGAAAGCATGGAAGGTGGGTCAGAATGAACAAAAGGACTTAAGAATAGTGAAGGCTGAACTCAGCCTTGGGGCCAATGCAAGAGTTCTGTGATTCTCCTCAGTATATCTCACAAAAGAACTGAGAAAGGAGGTGGGTCTGCAGGGTCAAAGGACAGGGGTCAAGTTATAAAAAGGAAAGAAGTGATCATCTGGGAAGGAGAGACAGAAAACCATGAGATGGAAATGCGATAAAGAAACAAGAGTGGGCATAAATACTGATAATTCCTACAAGCCTTAAGCACTCAATTACCTGTTCATCGCAATCAGATTCCAAGAAGGTCATGTCTTTCCGTAAACAGTTGTCAAATCCATGCTCGTCACTTTCATTCAGACACTCACAGCCAGCTTTGTTAATAAAAGGCATTAAATCCATCTGAAAAAAGTAAGTCAAGACTTTAGGCAAAGTATCTGGATTTGGTATAAAAATCTTACAAAGAAGCGTAAATATGTAATTTTTTTCTTACTGAGGTATATAGCTGATGTACAGTATTATGTGCTTCAGGTGTACAACAGCTTTTAAAGATTATATTCTATTTATAATTATTATAAAATATTGGCTCTATTCCCTGTGTTGTACAATGTATCCTTGTACATAATTCTCTCTTGATTAGGCAATTTTAAAGAAAACTTCTGTCCTTTAAAATAGTTACAAGACTTTTATATTAACCCTTCATCTGAATTTCTAACATCTACTACTAATAATTAAAGCCAAATCTAGGCTTAATCCACTCAATAGGTATCCCAAATCAAGTCTTTAACTCATAGATTATAAAATGTTGACATATTTTTCTTTGTAACAGTGTTTTACATTGAGAAATATGAAAATTATCTATAAAATATCCAAAGAAAGCCTATCTCCCTCTTCTAGTGATCATGCACTCTTAAATCTATACTCTTCATATAGGTTTAAGGTACATATAGGTTTAAAGGTAAACAGCAAAGAGACTTAAAATTTTTTCATTATGGAAAATTTCAAACATACATATATAGACATGTAATACAGTGATCCTCAGGTGCCCTGCTCCCAGCTATACTCATCATCATCAACTCATAGCCACTCTTATTTAATCTTTATCTTGCAACCAGTCCCAACCTTCCCCCTATTTTAAAGTAAATTTTAGACACTTTTTCATTTCATTCATGAACATTCGAGGGTGCATGAGCATTTCTAAGAGATAAAAACTCTTAAAAAAATCCTCATTATCACAACTAAAACAATGAACAGTACTTTAATATCATCAAATATCAATGTTCAAATTTCTTCAACTGTTTCATAAATGTTTTATAGCTGAATTTAGTTAAATGCAGAAAAAGAACCCAAGCAAAGTACAAACACTGTACTTAGTTAATGTGTCTCTTAAATCTCTTTTAATCTATAGTCATTTAGCCCGTGGATTTCTTATATCTGGACTTTGCTACTTCCCTGCGGAGTCATTTAACATTTTCCTATCTCCTGTATACGTGTTGGCTGATTCTTTCAACATAATGCCAAAGAGTTGCAGTGACAGTGGGCACCCTGTCTTGTTTCTGGTACTTAGTGGGAATGCCTCTAGTGCCTCCCCATTAATATTTTATTGAATGCTTTAGGAATAAAGAGGTACTGAATTCTATCAAAGTGCCTTTTCTGCATATTAAGAGATCATGATTTTTCTCTTCTAGATTGCTGGATTTTGTTTACTTTTATTTAAGTTTTATACACCAATGTTCTTAATTGAAACTGGTCAGTAGCTTTCTTTTTTGGTACAAACTTTGTCAGATTCTGGGATCAATGTCGTACTTCCAAAATTAACTTGGAAATTTTCTTTTTACATGGTCTTAAGTAGTTGAAGTAACACTAGACTACTGATCTTTAAAGACTTGGTAGAATTTCCCTGTGAAGTCATCTTGGGCTTCACAGAAGAGCTATTGCACTATTTTCTCTATTTCCTCTATGGTGACTGGTCTAATTAGGAGTTCTACTTCTAGTGGAGTAGATTTTGATAAACTGTGTTCTTCTAGAAGAGTATACATTTTATCTACTGAACAAGAACTGTTTTTAAAATTAACCAAGTATTACAAATTATCAGTTGCATGTTCACCTGTTTTTGTTTTTAACGGATTTCAGCCTTTTTTTTTAGAGGAAATCCAACACGAGACACAGGAAATAAGAAAAAAACTTTCCATGCTTCAAGTTTTTGGTTAAAGAAAGATCTGTTCTACCTACTACATAATTTAGGGTCATTTAACATTTGCTCTCATTTTGATAAATGATGGCAAATGTGTAGACCATGTGTATTCCCAGGCTGGAATACTGAAATACATTAACAAGCCTCAAGGTTTACAACACACCCAGATGCAAGTTCGATTCCGGAGTCGCCGCACGCGAACTCCTGGAGAGGAAGACTTGATACTGACAGCCCCCCTTGTGCTGCTTGAAGCCACACTAGGGATTCTTAGCAATTACGGGAGAGAAAAAATATAAAGTGTTTAAATTATCCCAACTTCAATAAGCATATTAAAAACAAAGCTATTATGTTTACAAAAACACTGCCTTACTTCTGAGTAAGAATCTACCACGATTCTTAACCTTTTGAGTATCATATTCTTCATCTTTTGCAGTATCTCAAACCCTCCTAAAAGAGACACATGTATCTCATTAACTCTGGCCTCAGTCAAATCAGGAGTTTCAAAACTTGATGATGTGTAAAGTCAGTAACTGTATAGCCTTTAAGGGTTAACACCTAACGACAGAAAGTCTTTATTCTAAGAAACCCAAAATTTTATTTGAAAATTGTTGGTACATTTTTGCAATGCTTATATTTAAATCCACTTTAAGACACAGGTTTTCATTCAGTTTTTTTTTTAATTTTATTTAGATAAATGTCTTTAAAAAATTATTAAGGAATACAAAAGTTTATAAAGAAGGAAACATCCTAGTCCTCAGATGTTACATTTAAATATTCATTTCTTTGATTACAAACAAGATTCAATGTTTTCATATTTGCATTGAGCATTTCTGTGAATTGCCTCTTTATGGCCTGTGCCCCTTTGTTTCTCGTGTTTCTTTTTTCTTAGACTTGTAATGATTCTTTACATATTGAAGATATTAATGTTTATCTTACAAGTTACACATGTTTTTCTCAGTTTTCCCATTTACTTTTCATTTTATTTATAATTTTATGCATAATTTCACATTTATATAGCTACATATCTAAATTTTTTAATGGTTTCTGCCTTGGGGTTATGCCTGAAAATACTTCCCACATAGCCAAATTACATGACTAGTTAACTTAGTTTTCTTCTTCTTTTTTTTTTCAACTTTTTTATTTAAGTGTAGTTGACTTACAATGTTGTATTAGTTCCTGGTGTACAGCACAGTGATTCACTTATAGACATATTCTTTTTCATATTCTTCTTCATTATAGGTGATTACAAGTTCTATATATATATGTGTATACATACACATACACTTTATCATATTTTTTACTATAGGTTATTACAAGTTATTGAACGCAGTTCCCTGTGCTCTACAGTAGGACCCTGCTTTATCTATTCTGTATTCAGTTTCTGTTTGTGTTGTGAGGACCATGACGTTCTCAGGAACACACGACCAGGTTTAAATACTTAATGACCCTATAAGACCTATAGTTCAAAACTTTTCATGTCTTGACTGACACGTGATGGAAAAAAATGAAAAGTTTTTAACAGTTTTTCACATTGTATTCATAATATCTGGATGAAAACTAAATTTGTTTCATTTCTTAAAAACTTCAATTTTCCCTGCTTATTTCCTACCTGAGGTCAAAACACTAACATCACACTTAGCTGATGTGTCCCTGTAGCTAAGCAGCAGGACTGTTGCACTCTTATAAGACTTTTCATGCAAAAACCCTTAGTAATAAAGGAAAAAAAATACAAAGATGTACACACAACAGTTTACATGTCAAATGATTACCAAAATATTCCAAAAGATGTCACAACCCTGACTTACACAACATGTTCGTACTTTCTGAGATTTACAAATTAACAGACAACACTTCTATTTTTAAAAAATATTCATTGAAAGTCCTTAACTTAATTAATGCTGCTACCATACGTTAAAGACACTTTTTAAAGACACAACTCCTCCACCCATACACACAAAAAGAATCTCTCACATTCACCTGACTACAGATTCTCCTCATTCAACACGAATTTAAAGGCCTTACAGAAAGGACTCGCGGCCCCATGACAAATCTGTTTTAATGAACTTGGTACACATACTTTCATATATTAGTTTTAACTTTTTTAAAGTTCATTTTTAAACTGCTAACACAATAACTTTATAATAAGAAAAATTAAGAAATATACATAACATTATCTTCTGGTATGCAGGATTTACCAATTTGCATAATAGTCAGCTACCATGAAGTGCTCCTTCTGAATTTACTTCCTTCCTAAGAGCTCTCAAATGATAGAGATATGAATTAAACTATTCATATTATGTAGTTTTTAAAAACTTTGAAGTTCTCCAGGCTTCAAATTAATATTTAGAATAACTCACTCTTAAAACTCTGAAAAACATATTCAATACTAAAATTACACTTGGTCCTAAACCAGAATCAGTAACAAGGTTTTTATTTTTAATAGAGTGCCAGAAAAGAGGGGATTGCCTAAAAAAAAGAGAAAACTATAGGAACTGGCAGAAAAGAGAATTCTGAATATAATGGTCATATATTAAAATTCACACGTCATTTTACACAATTGTCAAAAAGGAAAATATTTTTCCAAAGCACATTTCTTCACTTTTGAGGGAAAAAAAGTATAAAACAAATGTTTTAAAATGGTTATTAAAATAGTTCAGGAAGTAGATTAAAAACAAGTGGTAGTGAAAATTAGAAGACACTCAGGAAAAACAGTTTACGATGGGGGTTTACGGCACAGACAGAGCCCAACAGTCAGCTAATAAATCCAGTTCTGAAGTTCTTATTTAAAGTATTCTTAACTAGCAAAAGACAAAACATAAAAGCAGCCAGTTTCATTTCTATCAAATAATGACAAGTGCAAGATATATCATGACTTGGCTTTTAAGTGTACATACATAGCCTTTTGGAATATCTGTGTCCTCATTGCTTCCAGGGTCGTTTTCTAAGTGCTGCTTGATTTTTTCTTCTAATCCCACAGCATCTGCTCCTTGATATTGATCAATTCTCACTTTGTTTCGAAAAAACAGAAATGTAGGTGTCGCTGATATATTGTTGGTGGCAGCTGTTCCCTAGAATTGTCAAGTTAGATAGCATTATGAATTAAAACTAATCTTAAACCACTCTGAATATTCATTCTACATCTTTATGGAAGTTAAATATCACAAGCAAGAGCTAAAAACATGTAAAATAACTTATTCCTAATTATTACTTAAGAAAAAGCAGACCTATTCCTAAGGGGCACAACTATGTTACCCTTATGTCCACAATGAAGAACAGCTCTGCCTTTTTATGTTATAAATACTTCATCCAGTAGAATAATCAACTTCCAATACAGAAAGTATAGACTGTTTCTCAAATGCAGAAACCAAGTAGGGTATTGAGATATGACAGCACAAACCACTGCTACGAGGAAAAAGTACACATCTGAAAACACAGTATCCCATCCATCCATGAAAACAGGGTAACGTCCTTTGCATTGCAATCCTCATCTAGTTCTACTCTTAAAGACATGACTTCTGGCCTCCCATCTAAAAAACACTGCAATAGCTATCTTTTTAAATTCTGCTCCAAATCCACAGTAAGATTAGCTACTGAATGAAAATTAGTTAATTAACCACTGATTCATGGTTTAAATTCTTCATGAGAAGTATAACGAAAGTAGTAAAGCAAATATGTCACCTTGCACATTCAAACACTAGGAAAAGGTACATTGTTTTTTAAACGCATAAAGTTCACAGAGACATCTTCTCTAAGCCTCACAAATTAGAATAATTTTTAAAAATTGACCTTTTAGAACAGTGCTGCCCAAAAGAAATATAATACAAGACACAAATATGAGCTCTATATGTAACTTTAAATTTTTTAGTATTGCAACAAAAAAGTAAAAAGAAACAAGTGAAATCCATTTTAATAGTATATTTTAGAAAACCCAAATATGCATTTTCAGCATATAGTCAATATAAAGAGTTAACATAGTTCACATTTTTTCTTTCACACTAAGTCTTGAAAATCCTACGTATTTTACACTCACAGCACATCTCAATTTGGACCTGCCACATTCCAAGTGCTCAATAACCAACCACATGTGGCTACCATACAGGACAACAGCTCCAGAAGACAGCACTTTCAGATTAGAGACAGAGAACACTTAAAACAAGGCCAGTGCTGCAGTGACGTAAGCACTAAACAGTAATTGTGTAGCACAGGGTTTACACTAAATCCCCAAACTACTTATCTACAAATTATATAACATTCCAAGATTTTTTTTTTCACACTCAGAAATGTATCAAAGACAAAAAAACCTCATTGATGGGGGAAAAAAAAACTACAGAGCGGTTCCTCAGTCAAAAGACTACATTTTTAGTGTTGGAAGGAGCCTTTAAATTTTTTTTTCCTGAACAACTCCTCCAAACTTCTACATATCCCAAATGTAGAGCTGTCACACAGCCACTCCAACTATGTAACCAGGGCGAGCTGCCTACAACACTGTGGCTCAGTCAACAGGAATAAGCATTTTAAAGGTTCTGTTGAGCTAGAGAGCTCGCATTATAACTGATCTACTCAAATCAAACTAGAACCAATTCTCTTTCATGGCTTTCTAATCAGCCAATGTGTCAGCAGTAGAAGATATAATTCTAGATTTTCAAAAAAGTAAACAAAGAAATGTAAAACACAGAACTGCCATGTAACCTATTAGGTTATTTTTATGTGTGTATATGTATGTATGTATGTGTGTGTGTGTGTGTGTATACATATATATATATATATATATGTATATATATATAAATAAACCCAGAAGCAATCAGAAATGGACTACCCTTCTTAACTAATGTAGTTATAATTGTAATAACTTGTAATAACTATGTCAACATTATCCTGTTGTCAAAAAAAGTACTTAGTGCATAAAGAGATAAATAAAAAGTGATATTAATGTTGAATCTCAAAACCAATTTGTAAATAAAATTTATTTAAAAAGGACTCTTTTGCCTTACCTGACACTGATGTACATCCACTTCCAAGAAAACTGCTTGTGGATACTTATTACTCATAGAACTGAAGGCTGGGGCAATCCTTAAGCATGGACCACACCTGAGAGAAAGGTAAGATGCTTGGTAAGACAACACTAAAGATTGTATTAATTTATACTCTAAAGATCTTGTCAATTAAGTCATAAAACAAAGACCTACTTATATAGCACAGAGAACTACATTTAGTTTCTTGTAATGAGCTGTAATGGAAAAGAATCTGAAAAAAATAGATATGTATGTGTACGTATAACTGAATCGCTTTACTGTGCACCTGAAATTAACATTGTAAATTGACTACTCCTCAATAAAAAATTAGAATTAAAAAGAGATTAATGGATAAACAAAAATGTAGTATACCTATACAATGAAATATTATTTGACAGAATAAGCACAAGGATATATTGTACAACACAGTGAATACAGCCAATATTTTATACTAACTATAAATGGAGCATAAGCTTTAAAAATTGTGAATCACTGTATCATACACCTATAACTTTTACATTATACATCAACTATATTTTAATTAAAAAAGTTATGACACATTCACATCAGGGATAAGGATAATTTGTACTGTTTAAAAGAAAACTAAGTCTCATGATAAAATGTCCTCTGTGACATTAAAAATATGTACTTATATATGCATTTATATGTTATATTTGTATATAAACACATATTAAAAAGTTAGGTGGGTCACACAATAAACAATTACTTCTACAAAGTGGGACTGGAAAAAGAAGAGAGTTTAGAGGAGACTTTCAAAACTATACTTCTGTATCCTTTGCTTTTATACGATGAACAGGTATTTTCATTTTAAAATATTAAACAGACTGAGGATGGAGAATTTAATGTTAACAGCACTTAGACAGTAGTCACAAATGAAGCACAGATACCATGCTATACCACAAAATATACTCGGTATACACACAATATCAGGTTTTCTCATTCCTGAAAAACCTTCTTTCTGCAAAAGCATGCACTCAAAAATAAGAAGGCTTATGGAAAAAATAAGATAAAGGTAAACAATTTAAACCCCTGCAACTTTGTAAAAATATTCCTAAGAAAAACAGTAACTAGTACTCAGGAAATACCTGGACAGACAGGCAGGTGGCTCAGACCTGGAGGCTACTACAGAGCGTATTTTAAATGAACAAAAAAAGATCTAGTGGAAGCAGCACCACTTATAGGTGCTGTGAGGATCCAAAGGGAAGCGAAGCTCTGAGTCAGCGGGGCTGCCACTCAGGTGGGGATGGGAGAAAGTGCAACATGAGAATGACCCCGGCTGGGGAACAAGAGCTGGGTGCAGGCACTCAGGTTTAATTTTATTAACTTTAACTTTCTTAAAATAAACCTGAAAGGGAGCCCGCCTCTGTGGCTAAGGGCTTTTCTCCTGCTAAAGGTTCTACTCCTGCTCTCCATTACCTAAGAAAAATAGAATATGAACTGGTACAACTTCTACATCACGCTGACATCATCACTCTGTTCATCAATCATGTATGAGCTAACTAGCGTTAAAGAAACACTTCCTGAAGCTGAACAGACTATACTAAAATAATGGCTACCTTGCGAGTAAGTGTCCCCTTATGAAATTTAACCTCATCTAGGTCCTTTGTTTAATTTTAGTTAGCCATCATAAGTGGAACTTCAGTCAAAAATAAAAAAGTTATAGAACACAGAAGCATAACTCTATACAGCAGCAACTTTTCACTATGATCATTCAAGTGAACTGATTGGTTATTTTAAGTAAGACGTCTTCCTTGCTTACTATTGGCATTTAAAGTAAACAAAGTTTGATTACTAGCTAAGCTCATGAACAAATCACCTGATTTCTCTATAAATGACAAGGAACTAGATCCTTCAAGGACCCTTTCTGATCTCTGAAACATTATGCCCCAAGTATGCCTAAGCTCAGGGCTGTACTTTTTTCTCTTGCGTAGCCCATGTTTCACAGAGCTTAGACAGTCTTGGGACCTTTGAGCTTGTAACAGACCAGAGACCATCTAGTCAAGAGGTTCAAAAAAGGAAGAAAAAAAGTTATTTTCTGACCTCTGAACCTCCTTCTGATGGAAAGCTTACCTGTTAGATTCGATATGTAAGAAGGATTCTGAGTTGCTCTTTTTTGAGAAAACAAGAACTCAGCAGACAACCCTCTAGCTTCCTGCAATACATAAGGAACCACACCCACAAAACTGAAATTTTAAAATTGCCCTAACCTAACACAATTATTCGATAAGTGAGAAGTGAAGACCAGACAAGCTTAAATGACTTGACCAAAATCAGACGCTCTAGTTAATGGCAGGGATACGACCAGAAGAGCTAACCTCTCAAGCCAATCTAAGATTTACTTTCTTTGAAAGCACCACGTTAGGTTCTTCTTAGTAAGATCTGTGTTTACAGTCATAATATAAAGATTCTATTTCAAGAACTTGCTATCCTTCTCTATTTGCTAAAGCAGTCAGTGCTCCACCTTGAGCAATAATATATGTAAACACATCCAGCTGGTAAACAGGTATGGAAAATGTACACACTTTCTAAAGATATATTTGAAAAGTTTATTTTTCTGCAGGCATAATTTTAAAATAGGTTATTTCTAGATGTACTGTATTTACTAATAGACATAATCATAATTGGCCCTATTAATAACACAAAATAGCTAGTGTTCATTAACCATTTGCTATATGGTATGCAATTTACAAAACGCTTAAAGCCATTTGTTTTACAATTCCTCATTTTAAAGACAAGAACAATGAAGTACAGTGCTAAAATTTGATCACAAAACCCAACTTTTAACTGCTATTCCAAAAACCTCAAAATAGTGGCCTACACAGTGTTTTTTTTTTTTGCTTGTTATTTCTAAATTAACTGCCAAGATTAAAACTATTTATATACTGTTGAAAGGAATCCAGACAGATTACATACTGTATGATACCATTTTTATAAAGTTCAAACCCAGACAAAACTAACCTGCAGTGTTAGAATTCAAGAGTGATGAGAAGGGGCCTGCAGGAGGTGGGGGTGGGGCAGGGATTGTGCAACGCTGGCATTCTTGACCTACATGCTAGCTGAACAGGTGTAACCACTGGAAATCTATCAAACCATACACTTAAAAGGTTGGTGTACATTTTTGTACGCCTGCTATACTTCAATAAAAGGTTTATGTAAAAAAAGTCTCTATATGTTCTTGCGGGCCTCATCATGCCCCAGCTGTCTTACAGTCCCCTGTTTCACTCTGTCTTATATATACCTGGTCCCTATGGACTGTTGGGCCTGCAAGTCTGTAATATAGTAAAGTATCTTCAGCCCACCGCAATTTAAAAACATATAATTAATCCTCTACATATAATGCATTATTGGCACAAACTACCATAACCCATAGATCTCACCATCCTAAAATACACTGACATTCTCCTTGGATGGTAACAATAGCAACTAACCAACTACAAAGTAAGGCCTGCTTTAGGAAAACTGAATATGTGGTAAACCTATCTACAAAAGTAGTACACTCATGAATTCAAGGTAAAAATCATTCATGTTGAGTTTTATGGGAAAGAAAATGTATATTCTTTTAAAGTTGGAGTTTACTCACCGGTGATAACAAAACTAGCACTGCTTATGACCACTTAAATGTATCTGGGTAAACTTAAGAAGTAACAGTTTGGAGATACCAGTTACCACAGTATATAACTCACATATGTAACTTCATTCTCTAAATAGTATGGTTAGGTTACATGATATTATCCTCATTTTACAGGTAGGGAAAAGAATACCAGAGAGTGAACTGAACTGTCCTCCATCAGAAGATCAGTTTGCAAGCAGAGCTTATTCAAGGCAATATTTACTGAAAAGAAAAAAAAGGTCAGGCCTTGTGCAACAGAGGTGATCCTGCATGTCCCTTTTGCTCAGGCTGGGAAGAACAAGACAGCAGCACTTTACAATCCAAATGGAGCATTCAGCAATGGGACCTTGAACAAGTCATTTAACCTCTCTGTGGCTCAACTTCTTCATCTGTAAAATGAACAGACTTTCAAAAGACTATTTTGAGGACTGCAGGAGTCAGTAAGTGCTTAAATAAGTCCCTTACACAGACTAAATAAAAAGTAAATAATGACTATCTTAACTGCTTAAAAAAATACTGGCAAAGGGTGCCAGTTACTGGGTTAAAGACAATTTTTTTTAACAAATGGTGCTAGGAAAACTCGATGTCCACATGCAAAAAAATGAAGTTGGACCCTTACTTTACATAACACACAAAAATTAACTCAAAATAGATCAAAGACCTAAACTTAAGACCTAAAACTATAAAATTCTTCAATGAAAACATAGGGAGGAATCGCCATGGTATTGGATTTGGCAATGATTTTGGGGGTATGACACCAAAAGGACAAGCGACAACAACAAAAAAGATAAATTAGACTTCAGCAAGATTTTTAAACTTTTGTGCATCAAAGAACACTATTAAGAAACTGAAAACACAACAAATGGGAGAAAATATTTGCAAATGATATATGTGAGAAAGGATTAAGATCCAAAATATATAAAGAACTATAACGCCACAAAAAAACCCCCAAACAATCCAATTCAAAATGGGCAAAGGACTTGAACAGACATTTATACAAAGACAAACAAAAGGCCTATAAACACCTGAAAAGACACTCAACATTATTAGTCATCAAGGAAATGCAAACTAAAACCACCAGATACCATTTCACACCCATCCAAGATGGCTATTCAAATATTTTCTAAATGTTGGTATATGAAGAAATTGGAGTTCTCATGCATTGCTGGTGGAAATGCAAAATTGTGCAGCCACTATGGAAAACAGTTTGGTGGCAGCACTATTTACAATAGCCAAAAGATGGAAACAACTCAAATGTTCATCAACAGATGAATAAACAATATGTGGTATACACATACAACAGAATATTACTCAGCTCTAAAAAGGAAAGAAAATCTGACACATGCTATAACATGGATGAACCTTGAAAACATTATGCTAAGTAAAATAAGCCATAAACAAAAGGACAAATATTATATGATTCCACTTAAATGAGTTATCAAGAACAGGCAAATTCAGAGACAGACAGCAGATGAGAGGCTACCAGAGGAGGGGGTGGGGGGAGGAGCTATCAGAGTTACTGTTCAATGGACATATAATTTGTGTCTGGGATAATGAAAAAAATCTAGGAAACAGATAGGGATGATGATGGTACAACACTGTGAATGTGCTTAATGCCATCAAATTGTACATTTAAAAATGGCAAATTTATGTTACACACATTTTACTACAATTAAAAAAAAACAACTGAAAAATAATACTGGAGAGCTAACTGAAGATTCTTAACAGAAGAGTGACAATTTGTACAGTGTTTCAGTAAAATTAATAGGATGAATAAAGCACAAAAGATGAGAATAAGAAATAAGGCTTAAAGTAGGGATAGTATGGAAATGAAATAGGGGCTTGAGAAAACTATGTTCTTGGCCTAAAATGGGATGAAAGTAACTTTTCTCACTTCAAATAAATTGCTTATTACTGTCATCTCTCCCCCTGCTATGTTATGGGAAAAAGAATGTGTATCATTGAGGGACAAAAGTATAAAGGCTCCCACTGACTAGAATTAGGAAAGTGAACTAAAAATGCAATTCGTTGTGAAAATCATCCCTTCCCTTTTCCAACACTGGCCTAGGACTTAACAAATGTATAGGCATTCCCTCATATTAAGAAAACAGACATTGTAAAATTAACAAAACTGGGAAAACAAACTTTAATGTTCTGCTCCTTTCCAATTCTGTATGATAGAGATTGACAACAAAGTCCCAACTTGTCTTCATCTCTATCTGCATCCTCCATCCCCTAAAACTATCTAATCTTAATGTCACCATTTAGATATTCAACATTTATTGAATCATGTTCAATAGGTTTGAATTACTTTTTGTTCCGAGACTCAAAACACTGCCTTATGTTTATAGTTACTTGTACAATTAAAGGTGTTACATAGTGATATCTGTAGTAGATTTCTCCAAGTTTGTGTAAGTGTAAATAACACCGGGGGGGGGGTCCAGGTAAATCAAATGGAGACTTCAGTAAATACACAAACTCCCTTAAGTCTTGGTTCTGAAAGTCTCGTTCCAACAAGTCACTCTCACAGAGAACTGCACACTCAACATGGAAGAGCCACTAGTTCTGCGACCTATAAATTATGCTGAGACTTACCAAAGCCAGATAACATCTTTCAAGTTCCCTGTCCTCTTAAATCAAGTCAAAAACGGAGTCTATTTGGTTAAACCCAGATGTGGACATCTGCCTACCTGTACTGTATAAATACCTACTTAACTTTTCATAACCACATGCAACTACATACATAAGATAGCCTAAGTTACAAAGTTACTAACCAAAGAGGTAACAAAAATGTTAGGGAAATTAAAAAGCATCCTGACCAAACATTAACTTAATTTAAAATGCATTAGCTGAGCTTTATGTCCAAGCACTACGAGGATTAGTTGGGTAGCCCCATCTGAATCTTCCAAAGGTTTTCCAGCAATGCAGGTGGTAAGGAGAATCAAAGCGTTCGGTAAATTAAAATTTTTACAGTTTCTAAGATGCAAGTGACAGCTAGCTCCTGGGAAAGAAGTGGAGAGGTGCAAGCAGGAGCGGCTGAGACTCCCACAGATAAGAAGGAATAGAGCCAGGCCACCCCAAGAGCAGAGCTCATCCGAAGACTCAAAAGAAGCGGGCGGGGATCCCCTGGGCTGGGGAGGCAGCCGGCCTGGCCTCTGAGTCCGCCAAAGACTCCCGGTGCACAGACGGGAGGTCACACCCAGGACCTGAGGCCTAACAGGGCAGCGGCCTGGGGCTGCGGCCGGCGCCGGACGTTCCGGAGCAGGAGACCGCAAGGAAGGAGGCGCAGGGAAACAGAGAGAGGAAAGCACACACACGCGGGGCCCACTGGGCTGGGGCCCGGCCTCACCCTCGCATGGTGAACTTGACCACCGCGAGTCTGGAGCCCGCGCCACTCAGCTCCGGCTGGAAATCCGGGTCACTCCCGACCGGCTTCACACCCACCATTCTCAGAGAGCCCTGGAGGGCGGCCGCGATGCCACCGGCTTCAAAACTAAAGAAGAAGACCCAGGAGAGGAATAGGAGAGGCTCAGGAAGGCCTAGGCCTGGACAGGGTAGGTGGTGACCGCGGCGTCTTCTCCCGGGGCTCTCAGTGCCGAGTCACGCCAGGGAGCGGAGCGGCCGAGGGGGCGGGGATGGGAGGGGGGAGGGGAGAGGCGAGGGAAGGGAAGGCGTGCGGCGCCCAGCAGCCACCGCGCGGCAGGGCCGACAGCGCTTGCGCACTTTGGCGTCATTTCCGCGCCGTGCGTTTTGGCTCTCACCGCCCAATCCTAAAGCGCGACCCGTGGCTCCACCCTCGACTGGAGAGCCCCTCACTGGCTGGAGCGGCGCAGGCGCAGAAGAGGAGCGGTCAGCAGCGCCGGCGCAGATTGCGACTGAAGTTCAGATATTCCTCCGCGGTTCCAAGACCCGGGTTTTTAACCGAGGAGGTGCCGGGGTGGGAAGGTGAGAAAAGAACTTCTTTTTCTCATGGGTTTTTGGCTACTGGCTAAGGTTTTACGTTCTTCTCGTCCCCGGAAGTACTTTCAGTATAGTCCTGGCTCATATTCGGTACAAGTCGCCACACTAGACAAAGTAGCCTTTAGGAACATTTATTTAGGGGTCTCATTACATTTGGGCGCTCTGTGGGACGTCATCCAGGAAATATTAGGTACCTGTCTTTCACTTGTGCTTTAAAAAAATGAAAGCACCATCTCTCCTTTAGGAACTAACAGTCTGGTGATAGACACAAACAATAGTTAAAGTAACAAAGAAGTTTGCAAAGGAAATGGTGGAGACAAATGAGAGGAGAATGGGGCAGGGTAAATTTGCTAGGAAATGTGACCCCGATAGAGAAGAAGGGCATACCCGGCGGTAAGAGATGACAGGGTATTATGTATTATTATGTATTCCAGGTTGAGGAAGCAGCAGTGCAAATGAGTGGGTTGAGAGGACTGATGATAGTAATAATAACAGCAGCTAATTTTTAACAAATTACGTTCCAAATAAGATACAAGCCCTTTGTGTATATTATCTCATTTAATCCTCACGAAGAACCTTAATTTTCCAAATTTCACATATATAGTGTGAGGTCAAGCCAGCATTCAAGTTAAGGCAGTCTCACACCAGCATTTTCTTCTGAATATTAGGCGAGGTGACAAGTCAAATAATTTACCTTTGGTTTTAGCTGGGATGATGAAATTCAAGAGGGAGTTGAAGACCAGACAATAACTAGCTAAAGATTTTGTATTTTAACATGAAGGCAATGGAATAATCACTGCAGAACAATTTTGTGATTACAAGTGACTTTAGAAAAGGCCCCCAGGTAGCAGCTAGGAGGATGGAAAGCAGTGAAACCAGTTGAGGAGGTCACTGATAACCCGGGAACTGAGTTATGGGAGCAGCTGCAGTCAACTGATACTTGAGAAACAATTAAGAGATTAAAAACCACGGGGTTTAGTGATCAGTTAGACCAATTTGGCGAAGTGACAGCGGAAGGAGTCTAGGATAATGTAAATATTTCAATCTTCTGGCACTTTTTACTGAGTTAAGATGCTGAGAAGACATCAGTAGGCAGAAGGAAGGGTGAGTGAAACTAAAGAGAATGGAGTAGGCTAAAGCTACAGATTTGAGAGTCATCAGTTTGGGCGATAATTGAAGCTCAAGAAATGTGGAAAGAGAAGGCTAAGGGTGCTGCTGAAACGTAAAACGATTATACCTAACTGAACACAGCCAGAACAGAGCCATAGTAATTATATTCCTTTCTCATGTGACACTAGCACAGTGTGATTGCATTAGACCCCAAGAGACAGAAGTTTCAATAATAAATTTCTGCTACTTATTATTTTGTAGCCATGGATAAGCCACTAACCTCTCTGAACTACAGTGTTTTTGTCTGTGAGAATTGGGAACCTACTTTCTAGGATTGTGAAGGTTAAAAGTAATAGTAGATGATGTGCATAAAGAACTAGAGCATGAGGGGCTCAGTAAAAGATACCTATAAACTATGCTATATTATTCAGCTAGGGCTGCCATAACAAAATGCCAGACTGGGTGGCTTCACAGAAATTTGTTTGTTGCAGCTCTGAAGATTGAAAGTCCAAGGTCAAGGTGCCTGGCACGACTGGTTTCTCCTGAGGCCTCTCTCCTCAACTTGTAAATGGCCGTCTTCTCTGTGTGTCCTCACAAGTCTTCTTTGTGCATGCATGCACACACACAAGCATGCACACTCCTGGTGTCTCATCTTCTCATAAGCACACCAGCTCTATTGGATTAGGGCCCCCCCCCCACGCTTATAGTCTTATTTAATCTTAATTACCTAATGGGTGTCAAATGGCATCTCATTGTAGTTTTGATGGGCATTTCCGTAAGAATGAAACCACTGAGCATCTTTTCATGTGCCTAATGATCATTTGTATGTTTTCTTTGGAGAAATGTTGATTCAGGTCCTTTGCCCATTTTTGAATTGATTTTGAGGGAGAACTGTAGAATATATATGTCTTATATATATATATATTTCTGGATACTAATCCCTTATCAGTTATATGACTTGCAAATATTTTCTCCTATTTTATGGGTTGTCTTTTCACTTTCCTGATAGTGTTATTTGATGCACAAAAGTTTTCAATTATGATGAATTTTAACTTGCCTATTTTTTCTTTTACTGTGTGTTTGAGTGGCATATCCAAGATATCATTGCCAAATTCCACGTCATAAAGATTTTTCCTTATATTCTCATTAAGAGTTTTATAGTTTTAGCTCTCAAGTTTAGTTTTTTGATCCACCATCCGCCGTTTTTTGAGGCAAACTCCTTCTGTATGATTCTAATCATTTCAAAGTAGTCTCATGAGAAAGATGTGTACAATTTTCCAGTTTTATATATATTTGAGTGTTTTTTGGAAAGGCATTATGCAGTAACTTTACAATCTCTGATGTTAGTTTTTCTTTAAATTTAGACCTCTTGTAAAAGGGAGGAAGAGCAGTTTCTGAATTTTTGAAAAGCAGAACAAGAATATAATGAAGAAAGAACTTTTATTCTGCAAAAGAAAAAAAGAAAGAAAAAGAAAAACCCATAAATTCCCCTCAGATATAATATACCTCTTTAAACAACTAAATTTGTATTTGTATAAGTCCAGGGATACAGCTTGATGACTCATACAAATGATATAAAATCCCCATTAACTTACCAGAATTATACCTACCTCAACATTCTACATACAAATTACTGCTGCCTAATAGCTTATTGTTATCTTATTCCTGAAGAAGTAGAGATCTAATAAAATGTTATATTATACCAGTTCAACTCTGCTTGTCAACTGGGTAATTTATTTAAAAAAATAATTTCTGGTGATAAGTTTTGCTTTATTCTGAAAGTTTTGAGGACAAAATATGTAATTTATGTAATATAAATATTAAATAGAAAGGAAATCCTGCTTTATAATTTCTTTATTTTTTATTTATATATATTTTATTGAGTTGTAGTGCTTTGTAATTTCTAAATACTTTCTAGCTGTGTGTTATGGAACTTGAAAATTGAATACCATTTCCCAGTAGTTGTCCCTAGGTGGCGCAATCTCTTTTTAGTCAGAGGGATATGATTTCCCTTTAGCTATCAAAAGCTTTTTTAAATGATGCTTCAAGTCACCAATGGACCCTTTATACCACTAACACTATATTCTTTAGTTTTGGACACTAAGCAGTGTCTTGGAGGAGACAGTTTCCTAGGAAGTCGCAGATTGGTCTTTGTCATAAATGTCTTCTTCCTGGAACATAGTGAAGAAACTTGCTGACAGTTCTGAGTCCGTTTTGGATGTTTCCCAGAAATGCAAAAGGTTTTTCTTCTGACATTTATATCTGACATTCAGAAGTCAGTAAACTGTCTAGAGTTTCTATTAAGAAAGTCAGACATTTAGACAAATATTTCTATCACGTCAGCTTCTGAAATGAAAATCCCTATTTTAATTTCTTAAAAGAGTATGTTGGGCATTGGAATTGACCCTTTGGAACTGAAAACCTATATGTAACTATACATAACTATGTTTTCACTTAATCACTTGTAAAGAGAGTTCTTTTTTGCTAGTGGTGCTATAGTAGGTATATTCTGGCAAGAATGTACAGATAGCAAAGAAATGATAAAATTCTTAGTAGAGGCTTTCACTGTATTCAGAGCTGTCTCTCAGGTGTGCCCTCGAGCGCGCGCGCACACACACCCCACCCCCCATCATCCGTCCATTTTTGTGTAGCAATACCTGCATACTCTGAGTAAATCTGAGCACCAAGCACTGAAGACTTAATAAAAATAAAATGTTTATTACTGACTTTTTAATACAATAAGGAAGAGGTTATTTACACTATGTTAAAACAGTGTCTCCCACCAACATTCAGAATATTAGAATCAGAGGGAAAGTAAGAGGATCAGACCCACTGCAACTAGAAGGTACCAGAACTTATGACTTCTCACACTGTGCTGTGCTCATAGCAGATGTTTGTCCCCCTGCCAGACAATTGGCAACTTGAGCACAGAACCAGGTCTTTGCATTATCTGCACGCCCAGCTTAGCAGTGTCTGACACGGCTGGATGTTGAATAAATGATGCTTTCTACCTTGACAAATTAAATGTAGGACAAGTAAAAGAAAGCACTGTTTCATGAAAATGGAAGTAAAGTTCAAGGACTTATAGTCATGGCCCCTCTCATTCTGTATTATTGTGGAGCATTTATAAATGCCAAGCATCATATAATTTTATCTGTAAATATTTTAGCCTGCATGTCTAGAAGGATTCCCTTAAAAATCATAACCAAAACACCATTGTCACAACTAAAATGTTAACAGTGCTTCTTTACTATCATCAAATATCCACTCGATAAAATTTCCCATTTTTCTCCTAATTTACTGTGTAACTTATTTGAATCAATACCAAAATAAATTCTACACATTGCATTGGTTGATGTGTCTGTCGGTTGTCTCTTATTACAACTTTGTTTAATCTTCACTTCTTTTTTTCCAACTTTTATGTGAAAAAATTCAAATGGACAGAAAAGTTGCAGAAGAAGAAGGAGGAAGAGGCAGACAGGAGGAAGAAGTAGAAGGGGGTACAGTGAGCAGAGGGGCCAATGACTGGGGGCTCCCAGCAAGTCCCAACTAACTTCATCTTGCTCAGGCATTCGCCAGGAGCTGCCCCAGGAACAGGCGACCTCAGCTAGAAAGCTGAGGTGACCTTGAGGAAGCTAATAGCAGGAACAGTGGGCAAAACCATTCTCCATGGAGTTGGGAAGTGTTTTTTTCCAGAAGGAGAATCTGGCAGTGCATCTTTGTGTCTTCCACAGTGGTCTATTTGTAGAACACAGGTCCTCTTCACACATGTTTGGGGAGCAAGCCCTTCTCGGGCTCCGGTAGTCCTCTCATCCTGGCAGGAAACGGAAGAAGGAAGCTATTAGGACAAACCAAAGCCCGTGGGGCTGTAGCTAGTGACAGGGCAGCAGTGGCATTCATCACCTTCTCCCTGACTGTCCTGATTTCCCCTTGCTGATCTTGGCGAGGGGTCCCCAAGAGGATCATGAGCACCCCCAATCTTATCACCTTCACTCCTTTCTAGAAGGCATGACTCTGGAGCAAATGGAGATATTTCTGGAAAAAGTCTGTTACTTGGTGGGGGGGAAGGTTGATTAAGTGGAAGTCATAAGATAGGGAAAAAAAGAGATGTCTCACCAGCTGACTTTCATGTCATGTGAGAAAGTGCAAAGGAAAACTCTTAAAAGGTTTTAATCACACAAAACCCAGCAAAGAGCACTTGGACTGCTCTGCTGCAACATGGTGATGAGTGAGGCTCTCAGGGCTAATGTGAAGTCCCCAACCTCGACATGACTTTCAGGGCAGTGGGTCCATTCAGGACAGGACAATAAGCAAACACCAGGCACCGTGGAGAATACCAAATCACAGACTTACGGTCCAGATGAGGAGAAATATAACAGCACACATGAAACAGTTTGAAAATCATAGTAAAAATTAGGATACTGTTAGGCCACTGGGCAGCTTGGTAATCTCCCTTTTGACATTTTTTAAATGCAGAAACAAATCTTTTTGCCTTTTGGAGAACTTAACTTGGAACTCAGAAAGTCCAGGAAGTACTGGTGTGTTGTAGGGTAATAGCTGCCAAATTCTAAAGACAGAATGATACTTGAGTCTTTTCTTTTTTCTTTAATACCTATAAACATTAAAATATAGTGTGTTGAAATTCCTGACCCTTACCCCATGGGTTCTATTTATGATTCTGTTCTGATAATTACACATTTTTGGTTAAAACATCAACAACAATTTCTTATTTGTCTCATTCCCACCTAATGCACATGATGCTCTGCTGCTGGATTAGTATTTGTGGCTGAAACACCCTACAGTGACTGCTTGAGGAGTCACACTCTGTATAATGCTCTCTCTTTGAATGCAGGTGAAACCTGTGACTTGCTTCTAACCAACACAATGTGGCAAAGGTGATGGGCTGTCACACTCTTGATTAGGTTACTATTTATAGCTTTACCTATATATCATCTGCATCTCCAGCTATGCGACTCCAACTTTCTTGCTCTCAGTGAGAGATTCTCTTTGCTGGCTTTGAAAAAGTAGGCTGCCATGTTGTGAGAGGGCCAGGTGGAAAGGACCTGTGGGTGGTCTGCAGGACCAGGGCCAGGACTCTCGGCCATATAGCCACGAGGCAATGAATGAACCTGCATGAGCTTGGAATGATTCTTGCCCACTCAAGCCTCCAGATGAGAATGTAGTAGACACTCAGCTGTAGCCTTATGGACAGTCATGGACAGAGGACTCAGGCTGTGCCTGGACTCCTTTTCCATGGAAACTGTGAGGCAAGAAATGTGCATTGTTTTAAGCCACTGAATTTATGCTAATTTTTAATACAATGATAAAAACAAAATATTGTTAGGAAAAGCCCCACTCTATGTATTGGTCAAAATTCTTCAATGACATTTCATTGCCTTTGGAATAAAGCCCAAAAAAAGGATGTAAGGACAATCAAGGCTTCTTGTTATCTGAACTTACTCTGTTTTTCCCAGGATACTTTTTACTACTGGGTCTAGGCCCAGTCTGATAAAGACTCCATCAGCCTAAGGGAGAACTCACAGGCAGAGATTGCCTGGGGAAGGAGCCCTCATATTCCAGAAATAGCTGAGTCCTAATACCACAGTTTCCTGTTACGTACATCTACTCTATGTCCTTTGTACTTCCCCCCAAGTTAACTTTCTGTTTATTGTATATACTCGTGTTTTACATTTCAATACCAGCAACAAAGTTTTTTTCCTTTCCCAATTTTTCCTTTTCTGAATCCTACCAATTTACTAGACCTCCATGAAATCAAATGTGATTCTCCCTTCTCTCCTGAACCTGGAAGTAATTAGTTTCTTTCTCCACTACTCCTTATGTTATGTATTTCTCATACTGCACTGTATCGCAGCCATATATTTTGGTGGACTTGTGTCATTCATTTTAGCTGCCTAGCATCCAAATACTTTCCAATGTTTAGGGAATTCCCAATTTTGTGAGTCTTGGTGGGAAGCAGAGCCTGCCTTCCTCTGTAGAAACTGAACCTGCCAGATTCCCTCTTTCTCAACTTGTCTTTCAGTTAAGGTTCAAGAAATATATGTTGCATTTTTTTGATGTTTAAAGTCTTTTGAGGTTTTTATATAATTCCTCTGGATGAGAGAGGATATTTATTTACATAAATATACTCAGGATTGGCTTAACGAAAACAAAAATCTTAATTTTCAGAAAGGTTATACGTGTAAAATATATGTATTTATTAAAATATGCAAACTTTCCTGAATTAATTAATATTGGAATATTTATTTTAGTCCTGTAGCTCAGAAAATTAAACACATGTATAGATTTGGCAAAAAATTTTGTAAATTTGGTGAAAGGGGGCCAGAGTGTTAATAGTCTGAAAATTTCTCGTTAATGTTCTGATTAATCTTTGTATTCCTAGGGAGGTATTTGAAACACAGTAAGTGTTCAGTTAATATTTATTGAGTAAGAGTCAACTTTATCCAGGAAAGATTTTTTGCAGATTTCCTTTACAAACCAAACAAGCTTTAATGTAGCTTAAGATTATCCTGTGGTAACCTCTCTGTGCTTCCTATATTTCCAAAAAGTTCTTATAAATTGTAAAGGGGATTATGAGTGTAATGGTTTAAATGTATTCATCGTCACAACACAGTAGGTATATTGAACCCAACTGGCCAAGAAATTAATTTCTTCTATGTAACATCATTTCCCCATCTTCCCCCTTCCCCAATGTGATTGTGAGGCTGTTAGTCCAAAGTAGAAGAAAATCACAGACTTCTATTTTGTTGTATAAGACAATTTCAGAATTATTGATTTTCAAGCATTCTATTTACTCCCTCGATCAACGTTATGATTTAGTTTTTTTCATTATTGTGACAGCAGAGCTGGTCTCTACAAATCAACAGAAACAGCATATGAGAAACAATACCTGAGATGTACAGGATGCTAAGTGGCCTAGTGAAGGAAAGAGGCCGTCCAGGATATGAATGGGTCTGTAATGTGCTGCTGGGAGGAGGATGTCTAAGGCGGAGAAAAGAGGAGGGACAGTCTGCCATTAGCTGCTGTAGATAAAAAGAACAGAATCTCCCTCATCATCCAGTTATGCGTAGGGTTAAGTCACAACCCACTGCAGCTGCCCACCTACAGTGCTCCCTGAGAATAATTCAGGACAGAAGAACAGGATGGAGTGTTCTGTTTTGCATATGTGGCTCCTAGACAGTTAAAGTGCGTATTTAAGGAAGAATTTCAGTGACTTCAGATTCCTGAATCTTCTCATACACAAAAAAGCACTAAAATCATTAACTTGAGATTATCTGTTTTGTGTATGTTTGTGTGTGTGTGTATGTGTGTGTGTGTGTGATTAGCAGTAATCTTTTTACCGAGATGTATGTTTGACTACGTGTATTTCCCAGCCAAAAGAATTGTATATATACAAGCTTCTTCCCTGTCTCTTTGGGGGCAGTCACCTCAGAACTACTGAGAGGCGGCTACCTGGGCTGCAATCCTCAGTAAATTCCCTGAATAAAACTTAACTCACAACGTTTACGTGGTGTATTTTTTTTCAGTCAACAGCAGGAATAATAAATTGTTGACAGGAAGCCTTTTGACCAAACCAACACTTAGTTCTCTTCTGGTAAATCAGCATGGAAATGATCCTGTCTGAAGGTGTTGTTTCTGCTGTGTTCTGATTCTCTAATCTGCTGCTTCAGGTCACATCAAATAGGACTTTGCTAATCAAGGGATGGTCCAAAGACCAGCAGGAATGGGCATTATCTGGGAGCTTGTTAGAAGTGGAGAGTCTCAGACCCCACTCCAGAACTACTGATTCAGAAACTTCATCTTAACAAGCTTCCCAGGTGATTCATACACACAGTAAATTTTGAGGACTGCACTAGACTTCTTGTCTTATAAAACGGGTAGTGAAATTATAAAGGAAAAACAAAGCCAGGGAATGAGTATCTTCTATTTTTTTTTTAAACACAACTGACTGTTGGCCACCAGCGTGGCACCAGTTTTTTCCTTGGATACCATTCATACCTTCACCCACTCATTCAATAAGTGTTGGGAGGAAGAGAAACAAGCATAATAAGTAATTAACATCTGTTGAGCTCGTTTAACTTCCTAGACATCCATGAGGTCATTATGCCTATTATTTATGGTGACATTGAGGACAATGAAGAGAAGAAGCAAGATGCCCAGATGACTCTTAACAGTGTGCAGTGGAGGAACTGGGAGCCAAGACATGCCTCTTTGAACGCAGGGCTCATGTACCACTCTTTGCCACCACACGAGTGTACATTCATTTCCCTGCACAGGAATGTTGCACAAGTTCAGACTTCTCTAGTTAGGTAGTCGAGTTCCTCCTCTTGCCCCCTGTGTCTGGGCCAACAGCCAAGTTCGGGGTCAGAGGAAAACAGTAACCAAATCCCAGAGCTAACACTTTCCAGGAGTCTGGACCGAGTCTCGGGGGCAGAAGAGTAAACTCGCAACATCCTGGCCCCAGGAAACAAACACCTAAACTTGGCATTTCATCCATCCCTCCATCTAGGTCCTCCCAGCATGGGAAGTGGAGACGAGAAGAGAGCCTAGACCAACCTTCCCATAACCAAAATGGCTGCCGTGCATTCTCCGCCCACAGCTGACATGCTCGTCGCCATTTTGTCTCCATAGTAACGCAGCCAGCTCCTTCCGCGCTGGCCTAGGCCCGGCTTGTATGGAAATGAAAAGCATTTCCCTCCCTCTCATTTTTGCGACAGTTGCAGGGAAAGTCACGGCAGTTGGCTGATGTCAGCTGATTTTCTGCAGCGGCGGTGGCGGCGGCGGCGGCGGCAACGGCAACGGCTTCTTGCAGCCTCGGTGGAGAGACAGAGGCTGGGCTGGGGTTGCGGTCCAAAGTTTTCCCACCTGGATTTGCCCACCCCTACCTCTTCCTCACATACGTCCTCGTCTTGTCTTCTTTGCCGGGGCGCCCACAGGTTATCAGACAGAAAATATCGCGGCATAAGATGAAGCTGTGACAGGTAAGAGGGCTTTCGAGCTTCCTCAGGGGTAACCCAAGCAAGGGATATGTCCGCAACGTGGGGGTCAGGGGTCGGGGGTCAGGAGTCACGGCTCCGCTCCAGCTGGGGGCGGTGCCAGCTGTCAGAGCGCTGCTGCTGGAAGCTTGGTTCGGTGCCGCACCTGCAGGTTCAGGCCCACAGCTAGGCGCCTCTGCCTGGAGCGTGGGTCCTGCCAGGGGTCTTTGGGACTCGTTGGCCTGGTGAGTGACATTTTCTCCTGGGGACACTGGCTTTGATCTTGATAGGACCGCCTTGCCCTCAGGGACAGTCTAAGCGGGGTTAGGTGCTTAGTGTTGATGGGTGGGTGGTCCTTGACAATGCTTTCGGGGAATACTGTGCTTGCTTCTGGGGTACAACTGGTCCCTCCTTACCTCCTGGTACTTTATAGTTTGCCCTTGCGAACAGTCCTGAGACGTCTGTTAGTACACTTGCCCGTTCTCATCCTCTTGCTGTAAGACTTGGTCTAAGGATGCCTGCTACTCCCGCGCTCTTACTCGTGGGTCCCAGCGTTCTGGAGCTGTATGTTTGGAGTCAGCACTACCTTGCCTTGGATTAAAAAATTGCGTTTTGTATTTTGATTCATTTGCTTGTCAGTTTCTCAGGTCCTGGGCAGAATTTGCTGGTTTGAAACTATGGCAGCTACAGTTGCATCGCAGGCAACATTGAAATTGTTGATGTTGCTTATTTTTAGGATTCAGTGAGAGCTACAGCTTGCTTTCACAGTAGCATTTGCCATGAGCCAAAGAAGGCAAGCTATGACTCTTTCAGATGTTTGTAGTTTAGGGCTTGGTGGACAAGATGTCAAGAATTGCCTGTTACATGAGAGAAATTGGCTTTTTGAAATTTTGTTGCGCATGCGCACACACAACTTTCTTGCTTTATAAACCATTCGTGACAGTATGGAGGTGGTGAATGGCTTAGTGAAATAAATGTGTTGACATAGCTTTATTATTATGAAGAATCAAAATTGCCTTGATTTCATCCAAAATGATAGATTGGGCAAATAGAGAAGTATAAATAAGTAGTAAATGCCTTTTAAACTTTAAATGAGAGATTAAGGTGAGAAATTCATTTGAGTGTCTATATTTTTTAAATGGTCCGGAGCCCTTAGTCGCAGCAAAACTGGAGTGTACACCTTATACTTTCCTGTTGCCACTTGTAGCTAAATTTTAAAACATCTTGAAAAATGAAATGAAAAAATCAGATAAACTTTGCCTTGTTTAAGTATTACTATGGGAACTTAACGTTTTGAACTAGTGAGCTTTTTTTTTTTAAAGGCAGGAATACCAGACTTTATTGACACTTGAGTTCAAGGTCAGAGCCATCTTAGGCAGTACAGCAAAGCAGGAGAAAGCACAGATCCTGGGACCAAGGTTCATATTCCAGCACAAGAATATTAATTATGTTATAACTGGCAAATGTTACTGGCAGTCTATTCAGTAAAGTGGGGGGAGCCACACAGCAGCTTCTAGACGCTGTTGTAGCTGCCTCTGCCCCAGTTGCCAGGCCGTGCCCTTCGCCATGCAGGCAGCTCATCTGAGACCATGTGGGATCTGCAGGTCTCAGCTATGCTGCTTAGGATGGAGCTTCATGGAGCTTGATGGAGCTTGGTGAGTTCTAGAACCTCTGAGGTAGCTCCTAATTCCAGACGTTCACCAAAGGCAAGAAATAGGAATTGGAACTGGTTCAAGGACTGAGTGAGATCTTATAATTTCCTTTAATTTTTATTTGGATTTAAGTTCTGGTTTGGAGCAAAGGAAGTGGGGGTAGTTTATCTATGTACAAGACTTAGCATTGCAAACTCTCAAAGTAGTGAGCTGGTTTTGTGCCTTTGCCATGAGAAGGCAGGATGACATTTAGCCTTAGTCACGTGCTGCATGTTAGGTGAGTCCTTAAAGTTTGTCTTGGATCTCAAATGCAGAGGATGGAGTTAATCTTTCTCAGTTCAGCAATCATCATTGGATTGTTCAACATGTGTGTCCTTTTTTTATTCATTCATGTCCTTTTATTTCCAATTCCCACTCCATTCCCTTGCCCCTCAGCCCATAGGCAGCCATTCCAGTATGTGCGATGTGTATCCTGTTATTAAATGTATGTATGTTGTTTTGGGTGCCCACACTCTAAATTTATAGAGATGATAGTATGCATGATTTCATTAGAATTTTTTTCTCCCCTACTATGCTTTAAAGATCTATTCGTGTCTCTGCCCATTGCTTCTAACTGCTGCACAGTATTTCAGAATTTGTATCTAGTACAGTTATGTCTGCTCTCCTATTTTTGGGTACCCGTATTACCTTCATTTTCCTCACTTTACACAATACTATGGTAAACATACCCTTTGGACCTCTGTGGTGCTTTCTTTTGAGATATATATCCAGGAATGTGATTTTTGGATCGTAGGTATTCATGTATTTCATTGAAGGACTGCCAGATTGTGTTCCAGAACGAGTGGTCTGTACTCCTGCAGGCATTTCATGAGAGTTTCTATATCCTTGTGTCCCCACTAATGCTTAGTGTCATCTAGTGCCCCACTTTTTTCCAGACTGATGATGGATACAAAGTGAAATCTCATTTTAAATTACGTATCACTATTACTAATGAGTTTGAGCCTTTCTTGATGTACATTTTATCTTTTTTGGGTTTTCTCTTTTGTAAATTTGTTCATTCCTTTACCCACTTTAATTTTGAGGTTTCACTCCTTTTCCTGTTGATCTGCAGAAGTTCTTTGTATTTCCTATATATTAGTCCTTAAGTATTATATCTGACCCTATTCTGTCATTTGTAATGTTTTTTATTCTGTCCTTCATTGAACAGGAGCCTTCAATTTTGATATAATCAAATTAAAAACATTTTTTTTTGCCTACGGTTTGTGTTTCAAGTAGTCTTTCCCCAATTCTATTTGTCACAGAGTTACTGTCTGTTTATGTACTACTAACTTTATAATTTTCATTTAAATTTGTAGGTCTTTAATTCAGCCAGAGTGTCTTTTTACAGGTCACAAGGTGGAGATCCAGTTTATTTTTCATAGTGTGCCAGTTTTCCTGGGGTCAGTCTCTCCTTTCCCCATGGATAGGTGGTACCACACTTACCTATACTAAGTTCTCACATGAACTCTGAAGACTGCAGTCTGTGCCTTTGGATTATTTGTTTGATCTTGCTCTAATACCAGACTGTTTTAGTATGATAGCTTTGTATTACTATTTTTCCTACATAAATAAATCTTCCCATTTATTTTGTTTCAACTTATTTTGAAATAATTACAGATTAAAGTTTCTAAAGTAGTACAGAGAGGTCTGGTCTTCCTCAGTGGTTACATTTTATACAACTCTTGTCTAATGGCAAAACCTTGACATTGGTATAATACCTGGATATAGTTCTATGCTATTTTATCACCTGTGTGGATAGATACTTGTAACTACCACTGCAATCAAGATACAGAACTATGCTGTCACCACAAAGACCTCCTTTGTGCTACCCCTTTCTAGTCATTTCCATCTCCCTTCCCCCTATTATCCCTAACCTCTGGTCACTTTTCAATTTTCCATCTGTAGTTTTATCATTACAAGAGTGCTAAATAAATGAGATCACACAGCATGTGACTTTGAGACTGAGATTCATTTAAATCGTTGGCTGAGACAACTTTTGAGATTCATCCAAATGATTGTGTAATTTGGGAAGTACTCCATGGTATATATACCAGTTTCTTTAAACATTCACCTGGACATTGAGGCTGTTTCCAATTTTTTGCTATTACAATTAAGCTGCTATGGACACTCTTTACAGTTTTTTTCTGTAGATGTATAATTTTTCACACTTTTGGGGGATAAATGTCTAGGAATGTGATTTGCTGAGTGGTATGGTAAATATATGTTTCATTTTTGAAGAAATTGCCAAACTGTTTTCTAGAGTAGCTGTACCATTTTACATTTCCACCGGCAACATGTGAGAGATTGCATTTCTTTGCGTTCTTGCCAGCACTCGATATTGTCACTGCAGTGCATTGTGGTCTTAATTTGTGTTTCCCAAGTGGCTAGTGATGTTAAATATCTGGTAAGGCAAGTTCTCCATTCTTTCTCCATTTTCAAAGTTGACTTAGCTATTTGTGGATTTTCATTCTTTTCTGTATATTTTAGAGCTGGCGTATCTAAAAGCAACACAACTAGAATTTTGATTTAAGTATGCATTGAATTTATAGGTTTGCTTCAGGAAGAATTGACATCTTTGTAATATTAGATCATTGTATCCAAGAGCATGGAATGGTCTTCCATTCATGACTGAGCAGAAGGAAATTTTTTGTAGTTTTAAAGAATATTGTGAATAGGTGCTAATTTAAAGTAGATTATTGTTGATGGAGTTAGGCCTGGAACTAGGTAGTGCCTTTATTCTTGGTTTACCTGTTTCATCTCTCTGTGACACTGTTCTGTTTGTTGGGACTGATAAAGTCAAAGATGAGAGTATAGGGTTAGTGAGATTTGTAGGTTCTGTTCCCATTTTGTCCATTTCGTTGTTGGAATTTATAAAGAGTTTGTAATCTTATATACGTGCATGCAGGTGACCGTGGGCAGAGCCAGCTGAGAGCTTCTGTGTGGTTTAGTGAGGTCCTGTCGTCAACAAGAGCATACCTTGCATTCCCACTCACAGATACTGTGATTGTAATGTTAATCTAGAATTTGAACTCCGCACATGGTTCATTTGCCTTGATCTGTATCTGATACTTAAAGCTACTTTGCTGATAAGAGCACCAGAGATATTGTTGGAAGAAGTCCTACACCATGACTGCACTCAGAAAGTCCTTGTCCAAGTGGAATTTTTATTTCTTTTCTAATTAAATAGCATATACACTGTGGTCATAAAATATTAGATCTTTTAAATAAAATCAGGTATCTTTTCCGAAATGTGTTGGTGATGTTTAATGAAAATGTAGGGTTTGGGGGTTGATGGTTCATAAAGTGATGAAACAA